GGATGTACACTCACAGTGACTCGATAGGACAGGGTAGAACTGCCCCTGTGAGTTTCCGAAACTGTAACTCTTTACAGGAGTAGAAAGCCGCGTCCTCCTCCCACAGTGTGGCTATAGTTTCAAAATGCATAACTACTCCAGCACCAGGGCTCACCTAATACTGAGTGGGTCCTACGTATTCATTACCGCAGCATACCATTATGATTTACTCCGCATTTTTAAATCTTTACAACAATCCTGTTAGCCCATTAAAAAGTAATCCTTTGTGCTTATAAATGTGTGTGATACTCACATATCCTGGGGTAGGTCCACTTCTGCTTTTCAAAGGAAAGAGGAGAAAATTGATAAGCTATCCAGGAGAACTAAGGTAATTTAGGTGATCTAGTTTAAACATGCTGTACACTTAAACACAACTGTTCAATAAAACGTGTTTTGAGTGATTTAACTTTTTTGGTTTTATTTATCTTTATTTTTTACTCTTTTTTGTAATAAGTATATACTGGTATTTTTAAAGCATAAATGAATGGATAATACCCACATCTCTTTGTGTGTGTGGAAGTGTGCGTAGATTTCAAGAAACCGTTTTGAAAGGAATAAATAAAAATGTTGCTAAGAACTGAAAAGTAGTCCAGTAAAGGGAAGCTCAGAGGGAGATAAAGGAGGGAAGGCAGAAAGGAGGGAGGGAGGGCAGAAGAGAAGAAGGTTGGAAGAGACATAAAGGAGGAAAAGAGGATGAAGGAACATTTGATGAATTCATACGTAACATTTTACATTCTTTTGGGGGAAGAGAAAGCTAACTGGACGGCTATTCAAGTCCAATGCACATTCAGTGTCTGGCATACAGTAAGACCCAGTAGTTCTTGATTAGATAGACTGATGTTAAGGAAGATTGGGTTGGTTGGATGAACTCAGTGTTTTTATCAGAAGGCTGGATTAATTAAATGAATCCGCACGTTATGGCAAGAGAGATTGGAGTGAAGGGCTTTGTACTCAGCAGAGTGAGAGCTCAGAGAGAGACTGTCTTGATATATTCTGCTCTGGCGACCACCAGAAAGAAGATGTCACAGTGTTGTGGAGACCTTGACCATGGTTCATCTGGCTGCTGGCCCACCATATCTCGGGCGGCTCCTACCGACACCTGTTGGTTAATTGAGGGCAGGCGTCCTGATAATGTTCCCAAAGTAAGAAAAGGGAAGGGACCTGACAAACCAGCCTCTGATTCCACACAAGAAAGCAGCCACTCAAACTGGTCAGGGTCCCGGACTCCTCGGGACCGGCCAGGAGCGAGAAATGCGCAGCTGCAGCAGCGGGGTATGGCTGCATTACCGAGGAAGGGTTTCGAGCTTAGAATGTTCAAACGGTAATGTTCTGAAAACTATGTGACATCTCAGGAACCCCATGCTTCCTGCCACTGAGCCACTTTTCTCACAAACCAGAAACCTTTACACTGCATTTTCTCCATCGATATAAATCCTGAGAGTCTACGTTTAGGGACAGGGCAACCTGGCTCCCTATGCTAGTTCTGTCCCGTAGCAGCTGTGTGGTATTAAACAAGCCACATTTAATCTCTCTAGATGTCACTTTCTTCAACCATAAAACATGGACAATAACAGCGCCTACTCTCAGAAGGGGGGAATAAAGGAGGCGGAGCATGTAAGAGACATAATACAGTATAAAATATTTGCATATTGTTAGTAATCAATCAACAAATATTGATCAAGTAACTTAGACTGTGCTCCTACTTGAAAGACAGAAAACAAGATCGCCATGGTTGAGGACAAGAAGCAAACTTGGGCAAGAACATACATTTATTAAATTCCCTCTTTTGGTTCAAATAGTCCATGTCAGAGCCACCATTCTATTTTTTGCCTAGCACAGTCCTGCCCCATGGGGATGGCATTCCCGTAAGGACAAGGCCTTGCATTAAGACTCAAAATGGTCAAGGTTTGTCTTTGAGCAGCACTTAGTCTATTGCATTCATCCAAGAGCTCTTCATTAGTTGAGCACAATCCCTGCCCATAAAATAACATACATTTTAGTCCTGGGATTGTGGGCTACCCATGTGGAATTTTAATGAGGCTCAGAGAAGGTTATCACATGACATGGACTTCTATCCATCTTAGAGACAAAATTCTTTGGGAGAGACTCCCTTTTTTGTTGTTATTATTTCCATCCCTTTTTATACTCTCTATACACTATGCTATGCTTCAAAAGCTGGTAAGAGGGTGTGATTAATTTTCCCCTAGTTCCTAAATGCTTCCCTCCCCATCTTCCCCCCCCCCACTATCATGATCCCAATTCTACCTTACAAATCTGGCTAGACCAGAGGATGTACACTGGTACAGATAGGAACTGGAAACACAGGGAATCCAGGACGGATGATCCCTTCAGGACCAGTGGTGAGAGTGGCGATTCCAGGAGTGTGGAGGGAAGGTGGGAGAGAAAAGGGGAACCGATTACAAGGATCTACATATAACCTCCTCCCTGGGAGACAGACAACAGAAAAGTGGGTGAAGGGAGACATCAGACAGGGCAAGATATGACAAAATAATAATTTATAAATTATCAAGGGTTCATGAGGGAGGGGGGAGCTGGGAGGGAGGGGACAAAATGAGGACCTGATGCCAGGGGCTTACGGGGAGAGGAAATGTTTTGAGAATGATGAGGGCAATGAATGTACAAATGAGCTTTACACAATTGATGTATGTATGGATTGTGATAAGAGTTGTATGATCTCCTAATAAAATGATTTTTAAAAAAGGGACTCACATGTATTACTTGTGTCAACACAAATGAGTATCAAAAGGTAACAATACCCCCTTCATTAAAAAATGTGGGATAAAATTTTAGGTTCAGATGCAGTTTATAAGAACTAATGCAAAGCGAGCCTGATTCTCCTCACCGAAGCCCATCCAAACCACTGCCACTGAGTAGATTCCAACTCACAGTGGATTGATAGCACAGAAAACTGCCTCGTCGGTTTCTGAAGCTGGTACTTCTTTATGGGAGTCGACTGTCACATCAGAGCAGCTGGTGGGTTCTAACCACTGGCCATTTGGTTAGCAGCTGAACCCCCAGGGATACTTGCTTTTACCTAGTCCCCCACAATGGTAACATCTCACAGAATTATAGTATGATCTCCCACCAGGAAATTAATAGTAATACTCTCCTGACACATTAGCCAGAGTTTACCAATTCTACATGCATTTGTGTGTATTTTATTCTATGCCATTTTATTAAATATGTTAATGTGAAATGCAGAACAATTCCTTCTCCATCCTACCCGGCCCCCCAACTCTCAAAACCACTCATCTGTTATTCTTCTCTATAATAGAAGGTAATGGAATCATACAGTGTGTAACATTTTTAGATTGTTTCTTTTTTTCTTTATCTCAGCATAATTCTCTTGAGATCCATCCAAGTGGTTACGTATATAAGTAGCACATTCCTAATTACTGCCAAACAATATTCCACGGAATAGGCATGCCATAGGTTTTTAACCATCCAACTTTTGAAGGCAGCCTCCGTTGTTTCCAGTTTGGGTCTAATACTAATAAAGTCCAAGCACAGGTTTTTGCATGTAATCCTATCTATTTTTAACTTTTTATTATGAATTAAGTGAAGATTTAGAGAGCAGATTCTCAGTCTTGCATTCAACAAATTTATACGAATTTTATTTCAACTCATCCAGCCCCTTCAACGTACCATCAGCTATTGATCTATCGTGCTGGTTTCCTGTTTCCATTCTTTCTCCTTTCCTGACCCTCAGAACATCATCACTGGGCAAATGCTACCCTTTTTATTTTAAATGATTGACTATTCTACCACCAGGGTGAGTTCCGGTCTAGCCCGGACGATTTAAGGGCCATCGTCTCTCTTTGACCAGGAAGCCTGGCCACTGTTCGGATTTTGAGTTCTGTTCCACATTTACCCCCCACTCTGTCCAGGACCTGCTAATGGAAGGCCCGTCTAAATCCTTTTTAGGGCAGTTGGTAGTGGTAGCCAGGTACCCTCTGTTGCCTGGTGCTTTAGTTCAAAATTGTGGTGTTTGCGTGGTCCTTTAGTCCATTGAACTAATTTTTCCATATGTCTCTCAAATTTTAATTACTCCTTACTCTTTGATTAAGGAGACACCAATGGTTGCACCTCAGATGGCTGCTCACGAGTTTTTAAGACCCTGGTCCGACTCACCCAAGAAGGATCTAGAACTTTGTCTTCGTGAACTATGTGTTGCCCATAGACCTTGCTGTCCCACAAGACTATTTTCTTTTTATAACAGCAACAACAATAACGAGAAAAGCTTCCATTAAGAAATACCTTCTTGACATCAAAGAGTTAGAAATGTCTCCGTGGAGAGGACACAAATGATAATCCAAAGAGCACAAAAGGCTATAAAAGACAGCAAGTCTAAATTGTTCTGGATTATTCAGATAGTCGACATGTATTGTTTGGGTGTCCACAAGTTAACCCATGTCGCACGAAGTACTTAGAATATGTGTGTAAGAATAGACAGCCCCCAACCTCTGAGTACACTTACAACTCCAATCTCAAGCCTCCTTATGCTTGTTCAGTACTTCACACTTTAGCACGTGCTAACATGTACATTTCCCCATACAGTTTTCTCAGCAAACCTGAAACGTTGTAAGAGGGGGTATAATTATCCCCATTGTCAGACACTAAGGTGTAGAGAGCTTAAGCAACTTCCCAGCGTCACACGGATAATGAACGCAGGGCCTGGCCAGTGCAATGCTCAGAGCTTCGCAACCGCCTCTGTAACAGCTGTGAATCAGCAGGCTCAGAGCAAGTGAATAATCAGCAGTAGCCACAATTAAAATGTACAGGATGTTGGTGAGAGAGCAGGCACCTAAGGTCAAAAGGGATGGTTGAGGGAATCAGGGCAGGAGCCCGACTTCTCTGGTGTGGTTGCAGCTGGGGATTAAAGCTATAAGGGGCTGTGTGTGACATCAACATTTGGGCTCACCTCTCCTCCCTCTCCCCAGATGGTGAAGGCAATCCAGGTGCTGAGAATCCACCTGCTGGAGCTGGAGAAAGTCAATGAGCTCTGCAAGGATTTCTGTAACCGTTACATCACCTGCCTCAAAACCAAGATGCACAGCGATAACCTGCTCAGGAATGACCTCGGGGGGCCCTACTCCCCCAACCAACCCTCCATAAACCTGCACTCACAGGTAACAGAAGGCTGGGCCAGGGGCCTAAGTCAGGTGGGTAGGAATCGCTAGCGATCTAGAAAAAAAGAGATTCGATTTTCTGAACCCTTTAAGCGCTGGTGTCCTCCTCCAATTGATCCTCTTCATCCAAGCAGCAGCATGCTCCCTTCTGGTGCCCAGTCCCAACCACGCTAAGGTGCTAGTGGAGCCTAGAAGACGGCTAGATCTGAGAGGGACAGTGTGCAAAGGGATTTTTCAAACCCCAGCAATGTCTCTCTGGCCCAAGCTAGCCAAGGAAATGAGCACTGAAGTGTAAAGAGATGCTCTCTTGACGCATAGAGCAGGTGCACAGCTGGGGAATAAACCCCGACATTCCGGTCCGATGGCTTTTCAAAAAGGCTGGAGCCTGCTGAGCTCCTTGCGCTCCCCGGAAAGAGAGTTTGAAAATCGGGGCTATTTCCTGTACCCTGCCCACCTAGCAAAGGAAGACCGCCTCCCTGGGCTGGCTGCCCCCACATCATTCTTCAGTTGCTCTTTCGTCCTTGGCACCGCTGCCTCCCCAAGGTTCAGGGCCACTGTCACCATCACTTCAAGGGACCTTCCTTTCAAGATCACCTGCCACTTTCATCCTGGGACCTGGGAGATGAAACAGGAGTGACTTGTCCTAGCGGGCAGATGTTCTTCTGTCACTGGCAACATATTTTTCCAAAATTACCAACTAAGAAGACTGCCTGCTGATGCCTTTCACCCCGTCATGGGAGTCTTCATAAATCACAGGCTCACCGCTTCAGTCCCTCCCACTGAGTTCCGGTCTTTATTTCACAACCAGGACAGAGGTTTCCCCTCTTCCCGTGAGAAAACTGGGCTTGGGGATAAGGTAAACGTTCTAAGAACCGAATGCCAAGAGGGAACGGGAAGCAGGTTTGAGCAGAGCTAGGCCCTTTTTATCCCTCGGTCTTTTAAAGACCATCTAGATTCCTGGGTGGGACACCAGTTAACTTGCTCCACTGCTAACCTGAAGGTTGGCAGTTTGAGTTCACCCAGAGTGTTTTCTGGAAGGAAGGCTTTCGGAAGATAGCATCCATTGGGAAGCCGTGGCGAGCACAGCTTTACTCTGACACACATCGGGGTGTCGTGGGTCGGATTTGCTCCAGGGAGCACGAGCTGTACTTGGTTGTTTAACCCATGGTCTTTCTCTTCAGAATGGACTGAGGCACGGGGAAGGGACAGGATGACAGCAGGCACAGAGGCTGTGAGGGGACCTCAAAAAGTTTGTGGGAAAATTCCATGATCTTCTCATTCCATTTTTCCCATTCCATTTTTCCACCGACTTTTTGAACCTCCCTCATCCCTTCAGTATAGCCCCACCCCAAATAGGTCTGGGTGGACTGGGTAGTGAACCAGGGGTGAGGAGTGTTTACTGCCTGGGACGTGGGGCAAGAAGTTGATTTCTTCTTCCTAGAGCTTGAAATCAGCAAATCACTTTATTACAGATCTAAAAACAGCCGCCCAGGCTGCGGCTTGCTAATATTCTCTTGAAATAGACTCATTCCTTTAGAGTCTTATTGTACTTTCCCTTATGATCAAAATTAGCAAGAAACTTGCATAAAAGAAGACAATAATTGCTCAACGAGCATCTCGTTTGTAATTTATTAGTTTCTATTATTGTGAGTTTCCATGGCGACAGAGCGCAGCCCCGGTGACGGGAGAGATGCAAGATAGAAGCTGAGGAGGCTGGGAGGCCTCACCAAATGGAGATGCACATTTTTATCAGTAATTTTCATGAAAATAATAAGTGAGGAGTTAATGAGATGGAAAGCCATCCTGTGGCTATTGTGAATTTTTTTTAAGTGTTGATCTAATTAGAATGCATCGGTCAGGAAAAGTAATGAGGATTTAGTGCCTCACAGAGATGTGAGGATCATATCAGAAAATTAGCACAAGTCTTTGGAAATAATCAGGTCCTTGGAGAGGCACCGTCTTTCTCCTCCTGGGCGCTCCATCTCGACCAGGGGCTCTAGAATGGGAACGGGACAGGGTGGTGGGGAGAGGAGAGGAGCACTTTGCAGTCCTCGGGCCCCCTCAGTCTTGGGGGTCTGAAGCTGACAAGTTGGGTAGAAGAAGCAGGGTCACTGGAGGGAGGGGCTTTGCAGAAAGGTAGGGCATGGGCCCTGGGTGACCAAGGGTTAAGAGGTATCATCTGCAAAACTCGGCCTTCCTGGGGAAGCCTGGCACTCAGGGTCTTTGCAATGAAGACAGAATGGTCTCTGACTCCCATCGTTGGAAGCACCCAATCGCTGTCTGAGGACGAGGCTGAGACTGCTCAAAGGCCCTGATCCACTTAGAGAGAGGCGCCTAGACAACTGGACAAAAGCAACGGCACCAAGAGAGGAAAAGATGTGCTGAGAGATTCCAATTTGGTAGTTCTCAAACTGCCCTCCATTGTCCCTTCGTTGCTTCTGACTGCCACCTCCTGCTCCGTTCAAGCTCAGTGGGTTAATAAGGCAATGACACACGGGATGCTGTAAGAGCTTCCTAAGCTGCCCCTGGCATACCTGTCTTGTCTGGCTACCCCTCAGCCCTCCTACGCACACGCACACATCCACCCATGTGCATACACACTCCTCTTAAACCTCTGGGGAAAGAAGCTATGCTTCAGTCCTGCAGAACTGTGGGAATGGAACAGACCGGGAAATACTGCTACAGCAAAATATTCAAAGGCAGACCTGCTGAGGTCAGGTCTAGGAAGGCCTGGAGTGGCGGGCGACAGGCTAGGAAGATCTGAGGCAGCCATCAGGGTTTTTCAGTAGGAGAAGGACACGAACAGAGCTTCCAGAAAAAGCCAGCCTCCGGAAGGGGCTTTCTCTCAGCTACTGCTAGAGCACGCTTAGCCATTTAATAGCAAGGTTTACTTTGGGCCCTTATGTTAAGAGTCATTTATGTAAGGCTCAGTTTTGTCTCCAAGATGATAAACATTTTTAATAGAGCCAGCATTTTACATATTTCTTCAACCTGAACTTCAGGGAGCTACCATAGTTCTGTGCATGATAGAAGGTCAATACATATTTATTGAAAGAAAGAGTGTGCTGAGAAAGATGGAGAGACAGAGAACAACGATGGCCGGAGGAAGCCAAAGAAGATAAGGAGAAATAGAAAGAATGATCATTGGAAGGAGAGGCAAGTATAAAGGGTCAAAACTCAAAAGGGAGAGAAAGACAGGCTGAGGACTTGGAGCACAAGAGAAACAAAGAGTCAGGAAGAGGTGCCCTCCTCAAAAAAGGGGGTGAAGGTGAGAAAGACACACAGAAAGGAGGAAAGAGGAGGTGGGGAGCAGAGAAGCAGCCGCGGAGAGATGATTAAGAAGGTGGGAAGGCAAGATGAGTGTGAGGTTAATGGAAAATCGCGGCGGTGGGGGTGGCGGATGGGAGCAGGATATTTGATATGCTGTCCCTATCCTTCCCTCCCCACCCCCACCCACAAGGCTAGGCTCCTGTCACTGTTTCACCAAGGAAGGGTGGGGCCAGCATGAACTCTTCCAGGAAGTAGAGATCCAGAGCACAACATGTGTGCTCCCTGGGGCTGCCAAAGGGGGCGCACCAGAGACTTCTCAATGCAGGAGACAGGCCTGGGAACGGGGCATGGAACCAGTGGGAGAGAAGAGAGAGACGCGTCTAGGGATAGTGTGTGTTGACGCGTAGGTGCATACACACTCATCATGATTCAACCTTAATCCCCCAGCCTGAAATAGCCTCACTGAGTGCCAACCTAGCCTGAGGAGGGATGCCTCTCGCTGGACCTGATCCCCAGATCAACATTTCCGCTGCCTACCAGCTTTGTTGCACACTGCTGGCTCCTGTTTTCTTATGTGTTAATCATGCAGCCCTGTGTTGCAAAGTGGGAGACATGTTTGTTTTCCTAATCACCATTCCCCAGAGAAGGAGCTCTGAGGGACTAGGGGGCTACACAAAGAGCTGCTAACCACAAGGGCAGGAGTTTGAATCCACCAGCTGCTCCTTGAGAGAAAGATGAGGATGTCTATACTCCTAAAGGTTTAGAAACTCAAGGGGGATGTTCTGCCTGTCCTACAGGTTTGCTATGAGGTGGAATCAACTCATGGCAGAGAGATCCCCCAGAGACTTGCTGTATTCAGCTCTATAAAATTTGAGCATATGCCCTGTTTGGCCTTCCATTTCTGGATGTGCGTGTCTGTGAGTGGGGATTGCGCTGGCAGGGAGAGACAACTTCTGCCAGGCAGGGGAAGTAAAACAGGGTTTTGAAGCACTAACCTTGCTTCTTTCTACTCTCCCAGAATGCCATCCTATGCTGCCTATACCAAATAGCACCTAGGCTTCCTAACACCTCAGGACCCTGATTTCTTGCACGGAGAGCTTCCTCAGTAAGGAGACTCATTCTAGACCCCAGTCTGGAGATTCCAGTCTTTAATGAGAGCACACACATGATACGATTCCTCCAGAGAGAACCTGATTTCTGCCATTCACCCATTCATTTGACCTGAGAGCCATCCTTTTCCCATGGAGCTTTAAGCCTCGGTTCTGTCCAGGGCAGGTGCAGCTGAGCTGGAATTTTCATTCTGTTGCCAGGCATTTATGGCCACTTGTTGTATGCCAACGTGCTAGGTTAAGAACCCTAGTGGTATAGTGGGTTACAATTTGGGCTGCTAACTACAAGGTCAGCAGATCGAACCCACCAGCCACTCAGAGAAACAAGAGGCTTTCTGCTCCCATTAAGCTATATAGCGTCGGAAACCCACAGAAGCAATTCGACTCACTATTGGTTGTCGTTGACTCAGTGGCAGTGAGTTTTTGGTTTTTGTTTTGTGAGAGTCTAGGAAGGAGAGAGTTGTGAGACACACATGGGTATCTATATAAATAATATGAGCCATAGAAGGCACAGGGTCCAGTGGACATGATACAAGAATAGGAAGGGAGATGCTAGAGAGGGGGAAAGGAACTACAGGAGGCAGTTCTAGACTGAGCAGATCATACCGTGACTCCAGGGTG